GTAGTGAAAAGGGTCACAGGTATATTTTCATCCTTTGCACAGGGAAAAAATAGACTCCTATTATCCAAAGTTTTAAATTAAACGATTCTGTTGCTTCCCTTTCTTTCTCTCCTCCACCCACATTTTTCCCCAAGTGGGTCCAGATATCTGCCAATAGAAGATGAGAGCCTCCTCTAGAGACAGTTTATGCACAGGTGCTACAAAGGGACATTGGGAATTTGTGTCTAGCAATCGATAGCTGATCAGAGAGCTAGTCTGATGAACTGGGCTACACACTGCAGGGTGACTTTGTCATACATTACTACAAATTCCCCAAGGAAGTTTACTGGCTTGTGGTTTTAGGAGAAATACACGTCATGGAGATGGCTTGGGGGGTGGGTGCACAAGGAAAATTTAGTTGCTACAAAGTGGGGGTTGAGAGCTCAAATAGGTTGGTTATGTTTTGCCAGATGGAGATAAAACTTGAGGCAGCCACATCCTCTGACTAGAAATTGTTAAAGTAGGCAAACTTCTATCCGGAAATAATAGTAAAGTGCACAAGACAAGGAGACTAAATTAGAGAGAGGAAATCAATTTTGTTTAAGTTGGAAGATCTTTTTATTGATTTTATAGAATATTTTAGCACCATGAGGGAATTCAGATCATATTTCACTTTTTGTATATATGTGTATTCATAGCTAAAATAAATATTGCGATTTGTCTTTTTTCCAGTAAAGCGAAGTTCAGACTGAGGTCCAAAATATTTGGTTACTGGAGCAGAGAAAACTAGCTGGGTCTTTTTACTAATTACAGTATTGATAATTAATATTTCAGAAATGCAATTTTTCCAATTTTACTAGTTGATTAAAAAAATGAATGAAAAAAATCTTTTTCTGATACTGAATACTGTCACCAGATTACTGGTGCTTTAGATTTTTTTCCATTAAATAAATTCAACTTTTATAAACCTTACTATTGTTCTCTTTTTACTGGTGCCAAACAGTGGAGATTTAATTTTTTCCCCAAGTTAAAATAAAGGATGTCATGAATAAACTACTTTTTCATTTTAAATAAAAATAGATTCATTATAGATATTCACCTAAAATCCCAAACATATCTGGATAAAATATAGTCAGTTTTGTGGATGAAAATCAATTGTCATTTAAAAAAAATAAGCAATATTTTCATTTTTATCTCTGTTGCTACTTCTGGGTTCTGACCGAGTCCGGAAGCAGAAGTTGCAAAACATTGTGAGAAAATTTTTGCTCTATCTTTTTTTTTTTTCAATCTCCACCCAAATGGAAATACCAGAAGTCTGAGAAGAAAGTCCATTCTTGCTAAATGCCCAATTCAGTGTTGCATGTCTATTGCTGTCTTCGGTTATCTCTTCACAGCTACCTTCTATCCATTCAGAAACATGCTGCTCATGTTTTAACATCTCTGTCCTCACCCTGAGAGAACTCTTTTGGGTTTCTTGTTGCCATTGGCTACCTCTGTATCCCATGAAAATACGCATTGGTAGCATCTTTTTCCATATTTATACAGAAATAGTCTAATTACGGTTACCCAATGAATGTGTTAAAATGAGCTGATGCACATAACTAGCTTTGTGGAATAGCAGTTTTTTTGGTTTTGTTTTTTCACTGTTCCAGGGAAGAGGTGTAAAGTCATCTAGATTGCAGCCATCCCATGTGCCCAGAGGGGCATCTTTCTGATCCCTGTCTCACTGGAATGCCCTTTTTTACTTACTTTTTAGTTTTTCTATACAATATTGTAAGCTCCACTGGGGGAGAAACTTTTCCTTAGTTGCTTCTGTATCTTCAGTGCCTGACATTGGAGAGGAGAGTAGTTTTTAAACATATATGTACTGAATTAATAATGAAATGGATGAATGAATGAATGAATGAACCCCTATGACTCTTTGAGATAATTCGGTACTGTGGGAATATTTTAGACTGTTTTGTGTAGATAGACTGGTACTCATAATTGATATTCTGCTGGAATAATGGCAAACTACTGAACTTGAGTATTATTTTATTATATTACTTTCTTATATAAGGAAGGGATAAAATAAGGGAATATATGGATAATGGTATTCATGAAAGAAACACAATACATACATGCCTCACTTCCTTGAGACAGAATGACATGGATAGCCTAGAATGTTCACCCTGATTTATCAATCTTTGGTATAAGAAAAAAGTATTTCTTCTATGTGAAGTGGTACAGGTTGTGACACCTTTTTGCTTGACCTTTTATAGATGAAGGTAACACATTTTCTATGCCTCTTCCACCCTTTCCTGTCCCTCTCACCCCCAAAAGGGTGGTTAACACTTCGGTATTTGGGATACTAAATGGAAAATATCACACACACACACACACACACACACACACACACACACACAGAGAGAGAGAGAGAGAGAGAGACACGCATATACACACACACACACGAATATATTTAACAAGACTTAATGAAATTGCTTTTCTGTTCTTCTTATGCTGCTTTTTGGAAAATTATGATAATTTGGGTCCCCAGTGAAGAGTTTAGAGAGACTAGCACAGTTTTCTGGTTGCTTTTCATAATAATAAAAAAAGAACCCCAGTTCTCCCTTCCTTTTGGAGTAGAAGTCTTTAGAAGAAAAAGTATTTTTTACTCCAACCATTGCAGAATGTTAAGTTGAATACATGATATGGTCCTACCTTACAGAAGGGTGTAGCAGATACCTACACTGGCAAGCAGCATTCTGCCTTTGGGGTGGTACATGAAAAATTGTTTTTTCTTCCAGACAAGATGTTTCAAAATAAACATTTTTAAAAAGTCTTAATGATGAACTTAAAATCAAGGACCAAGTTATTTCAAGTAAAACAAACTCTTTTAGAGATGTGACATTATATTTCATTAAGGTTAGAAACTCAGAGGCTGATTAAGAGGGACCAATAACACCTGGGCTTAAAGTAGTATCCAAAAAGTCTTTAAGAAGGAGGTAGCGGCTTCTTCATATTTTGACTTCTGCTTGTCACCACCAGGCACATGCTATGTCATAGTAATCATTCGCTTATTTTGTAGGAAAGACAGACATCCTTTCTACAAATAGTCAATATATGTATCACTCGATGCCAGGGAATGGAATACAAAGCAGGTGTAAGACATGTGCCCCTCCCTATGTGGAACTTCCGGTGCAAGCCCCCTGCCCCCCCCCCCCACACACACACTGTGGAGGAGTTCCACTGTGGAGAAATGGAAGAGACCCATGCTTCCTCCCAGGCCACCATAGGGGGGGTGCGGGGACTATCTGAAGAAATGGACAATGTGTGCTTGATGACCAAACCAATTTTGGCCTGAAGGATATTTTGCTTAATTTTTCTGTGGAGCTAGTTCATTACTTTCCAGTCAAAGAAGAATATTTTGGCAATTTCTCCTTAAAATGAATATAATTATACAAAAAACCTTCCCCATAGACATATGACCATTTCTTTAAGAGAGGGTCTTAGACGTGGAATTACTGTGCCAAAGACCAGGAACAGTTTAAGTCTCTTCATGCATATTAATAAGTGGCTCTTCAGAAAATTTTTCTTGCCTATGCTCTTCCCAGCAATGTCTGAGTTTCCTTTTGCACGTCTTTGTTAGAGTTTAATTTCATCATTTTAAAACATATGTTAATTTTATAAGTGCAACTGGTATTTCTGAAAATTTCTATCTTGCATTTAATTTGACTTCTATTGTTTTTTTAATATACATATCATCATTTGCATCCCTTCTGGGAATTGCATTCACGTGATTTGCACGTTTATCATGTGTGCAGCTGTGTTTAAATTTTTATCCCAAGTTATATGGAAGAGGAGAGGAATACATGTATTCTGAGTTGATACAAATGTTAGAACCAGGACCATAAGTTGAGGTTACTAGGTTGTCAGCTGTGATATAGTCTAGATGAGGAACCGTATGTGCTTCTGTCAATTTTCCTTTTTGAAAAACCCTTAACTATTAGTCTCTGGAATGTTTAGGGTAGACTTAGGAAGCCATGATGGAGACCAGTGTCCAGGAAGAGATCCCCTTATGAATTCTGGGTGACTTTGACAGTAGCCCTTGAGCCTCCTTATCTTCTTCAGAGAACCTACCAACAGCACAGCAATCCAAAGTGCATAGTATCTTGCACTGGGCTTTTTCACTTTTGGCTTCACCCCAAAACTTCCACGCCCAACTACACGCCTACCGACCAACTTTCACAGCAGCCTTGTGAGGACAGTATTCTCAGTTCTCCTCTCTCAATTCCTGTGGGAGAAGCATTGTACCATCTGAACGAAATTCCTGTGGGAGAGGCATTGTACCGTCTGAACGAAATTCCTGTGGGAGAGGCATTGTAGCGTCTGAACGAAAGGAGTCTTAGAGGCCATGAAGGTCAACGCGTTCAATCCCTCTTACCACAAACTCTCACCGTCTGAATATAAACCCAAAGACTACTTTTTTAAAATGAAAAGCCCAGCTTAATGGTGATAGCTCAAATTATTTGGAAATTTGTGGTTTCCAGATCTCCTATGCTATGGCTAAACTGGTGGTTCTCAAACATTTTAATCTCAATATGCTTTAAATGGCCTTAAAAAGAAAATAAACTCCATTCTTAAGCATAATTATAGACCCTGTAGAATTTTTCTTGATTTGGGTTATATGTATATTTATCATAATGAATATTAAAACTGAAAATTTAAAAATACTTATTTACTATTAATTTAATAATAGTAAACTCAATACCTGTTAATATAAATAGCATATTTTTATAAAAGATAATGACATGTTACAAAACAAAGATTTAATAAGAATAGTGGCACTGTTATACATTTTTACAAATCTCATTAATGTCTGTCTTAGTAGAAGGATATCTGGATTCTCAGATCTGCTTTTACATTCTATCTGTTGCAATATTGTATGCCATGCAGCCTCTGAAAGCATCCATATTCTACTAGTAAGGGAAAAAAGGTAACTAATATCTTAGTATTAGTGTAAAGATAATTTGACCTTGAAGTCACCTTGAAAGGTTTCTGGGGAATTCCTTGTGTCTCCAGAATACATTTTGAGAACGAATGGCTTAAACCAACTGGATAAAACTCTTTCCCTCACAGCTTCATAGAATAGGACTATACCTTCAGCTATATAATACTATTTTAAGTATTCAAATGCATTTCTTGCATTCTCACACACCTCTCCTTACAAAAAGATATCCTACATTTTCATATAACTTTTCTATATTTGACATACTATATGGCATCCCTTCCCACCTCCTGCCCTCAGGTTAACCTCTTCTAAATACTCCTGGATTTCAACTCCATTCTTAATGTATGATATCCTAGACTGGACATAGCAATTCAGGGATCTGGGATTGACTCAACAAACATATACATTCCAAAAACTGTCTCTTGAGAAGCTACCGTGTCCATCTGGTTATCCAACTTTTTTATGTTGTATTAAACACTAACAATCTCAGAGTCAAACCTCACCAGCTTCAAGTAACGTGTTTCCTCCATACTGTATTAGTTATTTTTAATAACAATATCAATAAGAATAATCATTAAAATTACAAACAATAGTCAGTACTTGAAAAGTGCTAGATGTTGTGCTTAGTGCATATATTTGTTCACTCATCTAAATCTTACAATAATCCTGTGTACATATATTTATTATCCCCCTTTTACAGATAAAGAATGGGAGATACAGAGAAATTAGATAAATTGTTTAAGATTACATAACTAATAGAAAACAGCCAGGATTTGATCCCAAACCACTCAATCCCAGAGTCATTTCGGGTAGGAATTTTCTGGGAGCTGTGTGTTTAGATGAACATATGAAAATATAAACATAAGCCTACATTAGTATAAACATAAATATCAATATTTATTTTAAAAATTTATTTGTCTGTTATTTTAGAGAGTGAGAGAGTGCAGGCGGGGGAGGGGCAGAGGAGGAGGGAGAAGGGCAGAGGGAGAGGAACAAGTAGACTCCTTGCTGAGCGAGGAGCCCTATGACTGACTTCGGGGCTACATCTCAGGACCCTGAGATCATGACCTGAGCTGAAATGAGGAGTCGGCCACCTAACTGACTGAGTCAGTCAAGTGCCCCTTATTTTAAACTGGAATGTCATGTGCAGGAGTGGTTTATTTGGAAGCAATGAGAGAAACAGAAGCGAATGGAGAGAGAGAGAGAGAGAGAGGAAAGGAAAAGGGAATTATGAAGAATGAAAAACCTAAAAAGCATCCTCTCCTTATTCTCGATACTCTTGCCTTTTTTTTTCAGCTTTAAATCCACAGTATCTCTCCCCACACTGACCCGTTTCACTCTCGCCTTTATAAGGACGGCCTTACAGATAGTACAGATATTCTTAGCTATTTGACGGCTAAGTCTGTGTTCTTTAAGCATATCTGTGCCTGTAAGTGTCTCGTCAAGATGTTTTCACAGGAATTATGAAAATTGTGGTTTCTCCTTTAACATCGAGGACTTCGTTCTGGACTAACCATTCCCTTTGTGCAGTTGCTGTAACTATGCCCTGTGCCCATTGTGCAAATGTGGGAGAGAGGAGCTGAATTACTGAATAAGGGGCACTTGACTGACTCAGTCAGGTGACCGACTCCTCATTTCAGCTCAGGTCATGATCTCAGGGTCCTGAGATGTAGCCCTGAAGTCGGTCATAGGGCTCCTCGCTCAGCAAGGAGTCTACTTGTTCCTCTCCCAAGGTCCCAGCCAGAGCACTAACCCCTTTGCCATGGGAGAGATGGAGCATGTGTGTCTATTACTTCCCAGGCCTCCGCACTGAGGAAATGCACCAGACTCCCAAGTCTGTGATCACTCTATTGTTGAATGAAGATATTCTCCCAACACAATGGCACTGCAGGCAGGATTGAATTTACGAGGGCTTCTTCTATGTAATTCTGAATTCCCTAGACCTGAGCCCTGCTGAGTACACCTGCTTCCCTCTCTACCTTGCTGCATGTCATTCTTTTCAGTCCATTAAGGAGCCAACCCAAGCTGGGAGTGGTAACAATTTGAATAATAATGGCCTTTAACTTTTTATCTTTCCTTAAAAAAACAGAATTCTGAGGGCACTTTTAGCTATAAGGTTTTTCTATCTAATTAAATGAGCTTAAACTTCTTGTGAAGTGTAAGAAGGCACAGGTAGTTTTGTGGAAGTAGAAGGAAACAATCCTCAGTCTGAATGACTTGAAGGACTGGCAAGCTTCGGGAACCAGTCAAAGGAAACTTCGCTTCGAAACTTCCTTAGTCTAACAGATAATGCCCTCACCTGAACACTGGGGCCCTGTGGCCTCCCCGTGAATGCAGAGCTGAGTTGGTGGCCTTGATAAATCATATCAATCCCAAGGTAGTTTTGTGGTTGGTTAAGACGTTGGCCTTTAAGTTTTTTAAATTTTAAATTTTTTTAAAGATATTTTATTCTTTCATGAGAGACAGAAAGAGAGAGAGAGAGAGAGGCAGAGGGAGAAGCAGGCTCCCCACAGAGCAGGGAGCCCGATGTGGGGCTCCATCCCAGGACCATGGGATCATGACTTGAGCCCAAGGCAGACGCTTAACTGACTGAGCCTCCCAGGTGCCCCTATTTTTCATTCTTTATTTTTATTTTTTTAAGATTGTGGACTTTAAAATCTAGACTTCCTGGATTTAAAGTGTAGCTCTGCCCCTCACCGTATTTCTTTGGGAAAGTTGCTTAGCCTCTATGCCTCATCAATAAATGGTGATAATTTGAGTATCTACCTCACGGGTACTAAAGAATAGTCACTGGCATGTAGAAAGTATTAAATATATGTTAGTAATTACTATGATCGTTGCTATGCTATTATTCTTTTTATTATTAAATTTCTTTTTTACAGAACAGCATGTTACCTGTCTACCAACAGAATAGGAGAACACAAACAAAATAACTTTTCAAATTTATAATAGCAATAAACACTTTCAGTGCTTTGGAACTATGCCTTTCCCTACCCCCCCCTTCACATGCCTTAAGGTCATCTAAGGAATGGGATGTCAAATAGCAAGATGATACCAGGGTGAAGAGGAAGGGAATAGTATCATTTAAGGCAGCGTCTACTATCATTTTTATGTATCCAGATAGACTTGTATGTTTTTTTTTTTAAGATTTTATTTATTTATTTGAGAGAGAGAATGAGATAGAGAGAGCATGAGAGGGGGGAGGGTTCGAGGGAGAAGCAGACTCACTGCAGAGCAGGGATCCCAATGCGGGACTCGATCCTGGGACTCCAGGATCATGACCTGAGCCGAAGGCAGTCGCTTAACCAACTGAGCCACCCAGGCGCCCTAGACTTGTATGTTTTAAGAAAGTTGTTCCGTGGATAATTGAGGTGAGAGTGTGGGTTTTCAGTTTGTTTCTTTCAGATAGTGCCTGTGGCCTGAGAAATAAGGAACAGACCATCTTCCCACATTTGAAAGGGAAATGTGTAACAATGGGAACATATTTGTTCAAAACAGCTGTTTGACATAAAGTTTGCTGTAACTGTAAAGTATTTTGACAGCATACAAAAATTATGTGGTTGGCAAGAACAAATTTAAAGTTGCTATATGTCTTGAAAAACCAAGTCTCTACCTATATTTCTAAGAACAGTTTTCAGAGAACATGGTTTTTCCTTGTACCCTTATAACTACCTCACTGGGGCCCAATGTAGGAACTGTTTCCCTATAGAAAGCAACTGGTTTTTTCCTTTGTCAATAATAATTTTTAATAGTCATGTTACTTGATGACAATATCAAATAGAATGATAATACTTTTTGAAAATTTTGAAATTCCAACTGAGATATCTAGTGAGTGATTTTTGAAAGTTTCGAAAATTCCAACTCTCATATGCCATGAGCTGTTTGTTTTCCAACTTTGTCCCAGGCATTTATGTCAGGCTTGTGTGTGTGAAGCTCTGGAACAGGCTGTTTGGAAAAGAACACAAAATCTTTCTGAAGCTAACTTGACCCTGCGGGCGGCCAGATTGCCGGAGAAGGACTTACTCTCCCACTGGCCTGGCCCTCCTCCTCACGTTCCTTACAGCTCTAACCCTGGATGCTTGAACAGCTCTTTCCTTTGGACCCTGTGATACTCACATATCAACAGTGGTTAATGATAAGAGACAGAAAAAATATGATCTTTATCCTCTCGAGGCTGATGTTCTGGGAGACCCATGGTGAAAAATTCAGGTCTCCCAATTTGGAGATTTGAATGGGATTGGGGCCAGTACAAGGGGGACACTTTTGGAGTATTCCTGCAGCCTTTTAAAAAGCAGCCTAATAAATCATTTGAATATATTTCATAAGGGAATACATTCTATTATTTATTATCACTTTGATGGGCATGTTTTGACAATCAGGACGGGCCAAAGTAGGCAAGTTAGTCACGAGTGCAGTGAGAATCAGGTGGAAGCAAAGACAGTAAGCAATGCACAGAGCCAAGCCCCCAGAGTACAGGCAGAGACATTGCTCAGGGACCACCCCTCGTGACAGTGTGAGCCGGATTCCCCTCTTGAGGGAAAGGGGGCAACTGTAATGACATTGTCATTCCAGTGTCTCCAAGCACTTACGTGTCTCCAAGAACAGAAGAACTCTCACAACCATGTGTCCCCCTTCCTTTGCTCCTTACCATCTGATTGATAAACACAGGAGAAATATTCAAGTATGTTCCATACGGTGCATAGCAATAAGTACCATGGCACAGACTGAGAAGCATGTTTGGCAAAGTGTTGCAGTGTTGGCAAATAAAATCTGATTGGCACATTTAGGATAAAATGAGAATATGGAGACATACGAGTGAATCTCTTCCATGTAAGAGCGAGTTTTACACATGCAGGAGTCTGTAACAGAGATGGCAGTGAATAGATTTTACCCAGCCTTAGTGAGACCAGACAGAGAGGTTAACAGCACAGTGAAGTGATCTTAACATAGCACTATTTTCAAGGTAGACTATAAAGACTTCTACCATGGATCTACTTTTTAAAATAGTATATTCATTTTTATTTGTCTTTATAAGTTAAATACAATCTTTCTTGAAAACAGATGACTGCAAGAAACTTCAGCGATAGTCCTGTAGGTTACTGTATCAGTCAGCCTTGCATTCATTTAGCAAACAAAACAAAATAAAATGTAATTACTAGTGGTTAAATAAAGAGGAGCTACACAACTAGAGATCTGGAGGAATGTCAGGGGACTGACACAGAGGCATCAGGATGACTTAAGCAACCCAGCCTCTTTTCATGTTTCATTTCTCCATCATACACTATAGGCTTTTGTCCTTGCGCTAGCCATCTAATGTCTCTTGATGGCTGCTGGGCATCCACACCTTTCATCTGTATTCCAGGCAGAAAGAAAGAGGAGGACAAAGTGGCAAGAGATTTTTCCTAATGAGCTTCTGCCTTTTTATTCATCGATAAAAACCTTCCCCAAAGACTTTGTGTACTCTTATTGGCCAGAAATACATCATTTGGCCATCCATTACTGTAAGGGGTGGGAAGGAAGCGCTGAGAAAGAAAATGTTAGCTTTCCAGACTCTGTTGTAGAGTTAGACAAAAAAGAATGGGGTTATGAATAGCTTTTGAGTACTTATCATTGTCTGTTAGTTGCTGCAGCTGAGTCACTGCATGTATTTGAATCGATATTAGGCCATTTTATCAGACAAGCTTCCCAATGTACAAAGGTCAAAGAAAAATAGTAAGCTTGCCTCAGATGAGAACAATTCTATCTTACAATTAGTGATGATGTAAGGTCTCAACTTCTTCAGCCAAATGAGTTTGGAAAGCCAAGATTTTGGCTTGCTTGCATTACCAATGGACAACAGAAAATGGGGCCATTTATCCATTCATTCAGTCATTCTAGCTGTGTTTTTGAATTCTCACTAACTGCAAAGCAGTGAGCTCAATTCTGGGAAGAGCACAGAGGAAAAAAAGTCACAGTGTCTGCCTTGAAAATACGTTTCTTCTATTTGTTGGACGAGGCACATACACATGTATGCAAACCAGCAGTTCACAACATGCCACGGAAAAATAGAAAAAAGATACCAATGAAGGCCGGAATGTTCAGAGAAATATTCAAGTAATTGATAGAATTTAAATCCTAAGATGTCACAGGCATTGTAGGCAATAAACAGCATGAGAAAATATGGTAATAAAAGCAAACCCAAGGGTGAGTGAGCAAACTGGTACTATATTTGCTTGCAGAGTAAACAAAGAAATGTTAGAAAATTACTCATGGATTTAGTCTGCAGCTAACCCTGGATGTGGAAGTCAGAATTAAAAGGTGCTCTCAAAACAGTGGAATATTAATTGTAACATGGTCAACATGACCAGTAGACCCCAGACAAAGGGCAGAAATGCAGAGAGTCAGCATATGGCTCTGGGGGAAGAGCATTCCAAATCAAAGGTAAAAACACAATGTGATGAGTTTTATATAAACATATGCACAGGATGACATGGTAGCATAATACAGTATCATCTAACTGAGGGTTTTACTGACCACACAGGAATTAGCTAGATGAAGAAGACAGGGGAGGACATAACACACAGAAGAAATAGAAGTCGTTAAGACATCTGAGGTATGGACTTGCTTACAAACTGAGGGCTTTAATTTTGCTAAGCACCTCCCAGAAGGCTACTAAGAATGGGCAGTATTCAGAAAAAGGAAGTAAGGGGACCTAAAGACTTACAAAAGGGCCCTTGCTTTGAGCAACCAAATACCAAATGAGGATAATAATCCAAATAGCATGGTTTGGAGGAAAGACAAATGATCAAGGTTAAGGTCAGTTGAGTGAGATGCCATTAGGTAGATTCTGTAGCAGGAAAAGTGATTTTAAAAGGGAAGAGAGAACCATAGCAGCAACTAAAATGTACTTCAACAAAAATCAAAGACTTTTCCAGATTAGGTGGGAGGGGTACATGTTTAAGAGCAGAAGGAAAGGAGCAGAGAAAACTAAGACTCTACACGTTCTAGAGGAGGAGATAAACATGGAGTCACAGAGATGTCAGGCCCCACAGGGCACAGGTAAATGTTCTAGCCTTTCAGGATTGAGGAATCCATTTCTCCCAATGGAAGAATTGGAGCCCTGTGGTGAACAGATATATTTTGGAGGGAAATTAAGAGAATTTAACTAAAGCCTGCCATCCATACATATTGCAAGCAGCAACAAGACTACTGGAGGGTAATGGTACGTTTAGCTAGAAGGTATTTTCATATGTTCATGGGGTCACAAGTGACATATAGACTGCAACATGTGGAATTGATATGTGGTCATTGTTAGTGACCTACAAAGAAACCCTTTTGTATGATTCAGTCTAATGGGAATAGTTTCAAAGGAATGACTTCTGTGCAAATAACATGGTTGAAATAGTACCCACAACTATCACATTGGGCAAAATTTACAAAGAAATAGCTAAGTGTTTGCATAGTGACCACAAAAAATAAACACACTTATTTTCAGAATTCAAATTGTGGTAGATTTTAGAGTATGTTTGAAAATGACTAATTCTTAGTGTTGTTTCCTCTGGCGCCAAATTCCTATGCAAGGTTCACCTCTGACTGGTCATGCTCACATTGGTTGTCTGCCAGTTTTTCCGGTGCTCACACCCACCCACCTGCACCCAACATCCTCCTTTTATGCTTCTGCCTTCCTTGCTTGCACCGTGTGGGCCTCCCTACTACCTAATCTGCTGTGTACTCATAAAAGTAGAGTTTTTAAAAAACCTTGAGTATCTTCATTCTTCACCTTCATAAGTCTCTATTATTACCTCTAGCCAATTGTTAATGGATTGTTCTTTTTAGCAGATGAAGACTATGTTTGCTTGTGGGGATGCATGTGTTTATGGAGCAAATGATAGCACATTTGTTTTTGACCATAACTAGAAGCTGTTATATGCTTAGAAAAAAAATAACTTCTTTGATTCTCTAAGAAATAATTTGATGGCTTAGAAACTCTACCTTATAGGCTTTATTTATGTAGGGAGTGGGAGATAATGGAGTTGTTGGATCAAGGTTTTTTCAAATCATCAAGTCTGAGACGTAAATCAACTTACTTCTCTTGAAAGAAATTATATAATTAGATTTAAAAGTTAAATATTTTTAAAAATATTTTCCTTCATTTTTAAATCTTCACATTTTTAAAGTTTAAACTTTAACTGTTGCTAAACACCCCGCTGCTGGATCCTATGGTGAATCCTTGACTTGCCCATTCTGTTAGAAGCAGAGCCAGCTTCTCATCCAGGACTCCTGCCCATCACTCCAGAACCCCTTTCTCCCCCAAGCAAATGAAAAACCTATTTCTTGGACAATGACATACAATTGGGGAAATTTAAAAAAATCAAGTTGTATTTTCACTGAACTAATAACCTAGTCTTGAGCTGAAAAGTCCAACGAATAACAAGTCATTTTTTCCAAACTATACCTTCTTCTCCACCTTTCTTCACATTCTTATCATCCTGAAAGTTACATTTGTAAAGAGAATAAATTTCAATCAGATATTTCTTTGGCCTCACTAAAAAGATCTTAGTAAAGTTAATATATGTTCCCCTTTTATTTTTCTGTTATGAGCATCTTAATTCAGAGCTGTAAGAGCAAATGCTATTTTTTCATGCTAAAGGAACTCAAGTATTATTATTAGCTTCTGCTTTGAATTTACTTTTATACTCATCTCAGGAGTTTTGACAGTGATATAGACATTTTATAAATTAGGTCACGAGTGAAATACACTCCTGGCATAGCTCAGCTAGGGTCCACATGACAGAATCAGCCTTAAATGCTAAATATGAATGTTTCTATTGCTGATTTTCTTTAGCATTTTAAAGAAAGACACTGGAAGACAAAATCTCCATGACAACATTTTTATAATAATTTATTTTTCTTATCCGACACTACTAGGTATAAAAATCCCTAAATATGAAACCTGATCAGTTTGGGATTTAAAAATTGACAATAAAAAGAAACACTACTGAAGGACTACGTAGAAAACAGGATGCAAGATAATTTTGGACACATTCAATACTTAAAATTAAAACAAAGACTCAAAAAAAAACTTTAAAGAAATTCCCTAATGGATTTATTGTATAATAAAAACATTAGGGGATTTCCTTAAAGTTTTTTTAATGTGTTTTAATTTTACATTACATTTGTTAAATCTAAAGCTTTACTTCCGTAGGCTCCAAAACCATTTATAAATATAATCATCAAAACACAATTTTGAGAGAATGGCAATGAGTACAATTAACAAATAAATAATTTCTTCTCTTCACTCTGTCTATTTAATTACTCTTCTCTAGCTGTTTCTTCTCCTTCATAGACTTTTAATGTTTTTTTGTTTGTTTGTTTGTTTGTTTGTTTTTAGAGTAGGCTCCACACCTAACCGTGGGGCTTGAATCATGGTCCTGAGATCCCATGCTCTACCAACTGAGCCAGCCAGACTCCCCTCATTCACGGACTTCTTAAAATTGTTTGTTTTTTTCCCC